GCTTTTTCCAAGTAGGTGGCACGGGCAACGCTATCTCTGTCCTTGTCGCACACTATCTCCGTCTTTGTCTTACACATTGCGGGTATAGGGAGAAACTCTGAAAATACCCTACCGCTAGATGGCGACACTGTCGCCCTCAACCAAAATCGTCTATCCTTGTCGCACCGTCGCTATGTCCTTGTCTTACTCATTACGGAGATAGGAAAAGCGCTCTTTTACCATGTTCATTGCAGTTATTATTATTACATTTATATTAACTATGATTTACATGAAATGTATCATCAACTGTTTGTTTCTTAACTTTATTTTAAGACATCAGTGTTAACAGTTCGGTATAAATAAAGGAATCTTACATAAATCAAAATATATTATTTTATTTTTCATGTTATTACACTTTTAGTCATCTTATTTATCTTACAAGGAATATTGATACACGAAAAAGAGTTTTGAAATTTGTTTCTGATTAGTATTGACAAAGAAAAATATACCAGCACAAAATTAAATCATTAATTACTGCCCTAATTCTGTCCCATTTGCTTAGATATGAACTCTTTATCTCTGTTCCAAAGTATACTGCATATAGCATTCAACTGATACGAACAATCAAATATTTCAGATCTGGTGGACAATTTATTGATATCGAGCCTAATTACTTTAACTTTCCATTTGTCCTCGAACTCCTTGATCCTTGCATCGTCTACTGTAGAGCTTGACCACGGTTTAAATCTATAAAAGATTTACCAAATTGTGATTACAAAACATCCAAGATATCTAAGATGCAATTGAAAAAAGAAACTGTGGGAGAGTATGAAATTACTTAGTTCCTATAACTATATTAGCAGGTTTTTCCTTTATAGCTGCCATTGTATTCATCAAATATGGAACATCATTAAATCCTGTGGCATCATCGAAACAGAACACAGAGCATATAGCATCAACTTTGTCCTTGCATGCCTAAAAATATAAATGCCTGTGATTTATGCTTCTACAGAATTTCAAGACATCTTACATACAGGCAATATGTGATTATATTTTTTAATACTTGTCTCTGAAGTATCCCAAAACTGTAACTTAAACAATACAACTTTATCCCATATTTTAACTGGCCAAAAAACATTTGTTTTCTTTATTCCATTTGTTTCTATGTAATTATTAGATTCTTGTATGCCACCGAGACGTGCTACAACAGATGTTTTTCCTACTCCTGATCTACCAACCATGAAGATTTTATAAGTCACTTCTTCGATTGAAGATGGTAGAGGCGGTCTTTCAAGTATACCTACAAAAACATTACAAAATGTCAATATACAAATTATAAACATGAAATAAAAATTTATGAAGATACAAATTTCTTATTCAGTGATTTTAGTATTTACCATAGAATCTCCTTTTTTTTGATGTGTTTACATAAAAATGATGTACCAATGATTCTCCTTCTACTGAATGTAACCAGTTTACGTTTATCGCATTCATGATCACCGTACCCTCTTTAACAATGGCCTCTTCTTTCTTGAAACATTGACAAACAACCTGATAAACACGCTTTTCTCCTTTTTTTTACGGATCCAAATAATCGGATCATTCCTAGTGAACTAAAATACAACGTAATGTTTACACGAGTATCAAGCATAAAGAGTGACTTACGATTAAGCCGACAAACTTTACCGGTGTATTTAAAACATTTATAAAATACAGGTAAAAAATGTTATACGCACGGTGGCCCTTTACTTAAATATATTTATGACTTTGTCTAACTGCATAGAAAAAGTTTTAAAAAGGATAGATCAAGTATGACAAACATAATCATAAATGTGTCAGTATTTTAATCCACATCCCACCAGGAGATCTGAATCGACTTATTGTTTATACAACACTTTTCCAGTGTAACCTCTTGAATTAGCTGGTAAAGTTTTTCAGTTAAATCGAAGTACTACACCCTATATATAGTACTTATCAACCAATAGGGAGAAGTCCCGCCTTAAGAAAACCAATAAGATATCTCCTGGTATATCAATGCGAATGGGGACAAATAATTCCATTAGCAGTGAAGTTGGCGTTAGTTTGAACGAATGCCACATTGACCAATAAAATCCGTTTACAACACGTAACGCGTTGTTTGCAGTTGCGTCGCCATATTGTATATTTAACGCGGGTTTACTGGCGCGTGTATGGGCTTTCTGTAACATTTTCTACCGAATAAAAGCGCGTGGATTAAAAATTGTTGTCGAATTTCACGCGCAATGGATCCGGAAAAATTGAAAGTGGTCGAGTTAAGGACAGAACTTTCACAGCGTGGACTCGATACGAAAGGCGTCAAGTCAGTGCTCGTTGAAAGACTTCGTAAAGCATTACAAGAAGAAAATGCGAGTCGTAAGTTACATTTACTTTCCCTATTTAATAGTCTTTCGCGTGCTTTAAGCGTGTCCACACGCGTTCTTCGTCGTATAACGGTCGACGCGTCCGTTCATTCCAATGTTGACAAACATTCGAATCAGGTGATAGTTGCCCTACCAACGAATCGAGTGGTACGTCGTTCGACAACTAAACATTAAATTAAAACAATCCGAACTGTTTATTCGGTGTCGCTGAAAGCAGTGAACGATTGTAGTGTAATTATTTTTTGTATTTTAATAAAAAATCACGCGCGAACTTCACATTTTTATTTCGTGTTTACATATGTTCCTGCGCGCGACGCTTCTTGAAAATTGTTTTCACAATTAATCGATAACGTTCTTTCTAAAGTTTACCTTGGTTGTTTTCATTGTTAATTCTTGCAATGTTTTAATCGAAAAATCTATATTTATCAAAAAGTTCACTTCCTACACATGTAATTTTATAAATGTTATTCATATATCATAGAGGAAGACCAAGGGAAAGCAAGCACTAATGCAGAAAATGCGTATGACACAGCCATTCAAGAGAATGATGAAAAATCGTCAGAATCTGCAAAAGTACCACAGACGCCAAAAAAATCTAGTAGATTATCTAAAAGTGTAGTACCAGTAACACCACGCGAAACTCCTGGAGCTAAGAAACGGAGAACATCTAGGGTCTCTTCGTACGCTTCTAGGAAACGAACTTCTCCAAAGAAATCAGATCAAAATGATGCGTCTCGCGAATCATCACCCACAGTATCAGAACCAGCTTTACAGGAGGAAGCTGTTATACCAGAAGAAACGATTGGACAGGATGAAATTACCTCACAGGATGAAAAGTCTGACTCATTAGAGAGAATGGAAGTGACAGAAACAAAAGAATCACTGCCAGAAGTAGAAACCGAAAGTTCAAATGTAAAAGAAGCTGTTAAAGTCATAGATGAAACAAAAAATAACAAGATTGAATCAGAAGTGGAACAAGTATGTAAATCAAAATCACCTGTAAAAAGTAATACGAATGAAAATTTGTCTGTGAAGAAATCCGAAGAAGACTTAGATAATACGGATCAAGCGGAACAACCAGCAGAGCTTGTTTCGGTAAAAGAGACATTGGAAAGTACAGAGGCCTTGAATGAGACCAAACATAGCGAGGCAGATGTGGTGAAGAATGATGAGTCAGAATCAGTTAATGAAGAAGATAAGATAGATCATGTTAAGGAAGATACCACTGACAATGATAAAATAAATCTAGAAGCAGCAAACAGTGCGCAAATTGTAGAACCTGTTAATAATGCTAAGATCAATGACATTCCTGAAACAGAAGCACCAACAGACGATTTGCTTGACCAAGAACAAAATGCTGACGAGAATGAGAATGACGAAGCGAAACTTGAAGATATTTCAATGGAGGAGCAAAACATTTTATCGGATAACGAGAAAATACTGGAAGATGTTAACAACGACAAAGAAGAACAGGTACATATGAATAATTTAATTTGTGTTTATAAAAATGATGATTTTTAATCATTGAATTGTTTTCATTTACATGGAAAGGATACAGAAATGACAGAGATAAAAGCTGAAGAAGATGCGGATATAGATTTGAAGGAAGAAAATAAAAATGACGAAGAAATGGATAGAAAACGAAAAAGATCCCCTAGTCCTATGGATGATCGCGAAGAATCACCAGCATTGGAAGTTATCGAGAATGAACCTGAAATCGACGATACTGCTTTAGTTTTATCTTGGTGTAAGTTTTTATGCGAACTGCGACAGTAGAATTCCGTATTTTTGTGTAATTGTACTCGATGATCTTGATATAACGACATTCTCTCTTTTCAGATGATTCGGATTTAAATCTTGTTATCGATAAGGACGGATTTTTCACTGCTACCCCGATGCATAATGATGGCTTTTTGCACATGTGGGCTGGGGCAAGAGCTTCATATGGTTTCCTTCGTGGGAAAGTTTATTACGAAGCGAAAATAGTGGATCTCTGTCCCATTGATACGGAAAATGAAGAATATCCGCACATACTTAGAATTGGTTGGTCTACTCTATACACGTCGATGCAATTAGGGGAAGAGAAGCATAGTTTCGGATACAGTAGTACCGGCAAAAAATTAACGAACAACCAATACGAAGAGTATGGACTTCAGTTCGGTAAAGATGATGTTATTGGATGTTACCTTGATGCAACATCCGAAAGCAATATCGTGTTATCATATACTGTAAATGGGAAAGACCAAGGAACTGCATTTAACGTCAGTAAAGAAGAACTTAGCGACAAACCATTGTTCCCCCACATTTTGAGCAAGAACTGCAGCTTCGCTTGTAATTTCGGCCAAGAGAAACCGTGGGCTGAAGAAGTTCTGGAAGGCTACATTTCAATTGGAAATATGGAGTCTCAGTATAAAATACCTGGTCCACGGAGACCCGACAAAAGGGAAGAATGCGAAGTAATAATGATGTGCGGATTACCCGCTTGTGGGAAAACTACTTGGGCAACGAAACATGCGGCTGAACAACCTCATAAAATGTACAATGTTTTAGGACTTGGTAGTCTAATCGATAAGATAAAAGTACGTGCTTTAAACGACTTAATAGATATACATATGATTTGTTGTATATTCCTTATTCTACATTTCAACAATGTTACTTCAGGATTCAGACTTGTCTTACAAAGAGAACAACAATGATCAATGGGAGATTCTTATCGATAAATGTACGCGCGCATTAGACAAATTACTGGAGATGGCTCCAACTAGAAGGCGCAACTATATACTAGATCAGGTATGTACGTGATGTTTCGTATCTTCGTCATTTCGAACGTCTTCAATTGATATTGTGACATTCAACTCGTAATATAACTATGTCTCATTAAATCTTGGCGCAGGCAAACGTATATCCTTCCGCACAAAGACGTAAAATGAAGACTTTCGGTGGATACCAGAGGAAAGCGGTAGTATTGGTGCCATCCGAAGAAGAATATAAATCGCGTGTTGCTAAGCACAAACCAATCGAAGGCAAAGAACCTACAGAGTCTATGTTAATGGAAATGAAAGGTATGTTAGTGTGAATTACGCTGAGACATTCGAATATATTCACTCGTAAACTTTTACTTATACAGCGTCGTATGTCGGTTTAGCAAATTTCAGAGCTCCGGTCATCGGTGAATCTTTCGACACAATTGATTGGATCGAGCTCAATCAAGAGGAGGGTGAGAAACTTATAGGGAAATACAATAAAGAGGCGAAAGAAGCCGGTTATGGTCTGCAGCAAGCGAGTAAAAGACCGCGACTTGAATCAAGACCAGAGAACTCCCGAGAAAATCGTAACGCGCGACACAATCGTGATAACCGTGATGTTCGAGATTATCGCGACAGGCGAGGCAATAATTGTAAGCATTGTAATTAGAGTGAGAGATGTAATAACGTGGAAAACATGAAGATAACTAGAAACGTGTTTAATGTTCATAGATTCTGAGAGGAATCGTACTCCTGGCTGGCGGGGTGGTAGCAATATGGGCTGGAGAGACAGGCCTCAAAGGGGTGGACACATGAGACACGGTGGTGGTTATGGTCCACCAGTATCGTGGAGAGGAAGAGGAGCACCTATACCGCTCGTACATCGTGGAATGGACAGAAGAGGCGGCAGCATGGACAGGAGAATGGGAAACGATAGAGGTCGACCTTTGGGTTCCCGTCAGGGTGGCTGGGCTCCAATGGGGTAATTAGAGTTTCGAGTTTTTTTGATTTCTCATGTTTCTTTGAAAAGGAAAGAATTATGCGCGTCAATGGCAATATGCTTACGTATCAAATAAGATGAGATTCTTTGTTTCCTTGCAAGAAATTATTCAGGGTCGCAACAATCTTGGAACCACCAACCAAGTTGGTCGAGTGGTCAAGGATGGGGCCAAAATAACTGGGCATCATCGCAGCAATGGGGAGGAAACTGGAAGAACTACGGTCAACAGAACTCTTATAATCAACAGGGTTACGGTAATGGTAGCTGGAATAGTTGGAATCAGCAGCAGTATTACAGTCAGTATTGGGGCCAACAACAACAGCAGTCTCAGCAACAGCAACAGCAACAACAACAACAGGGCAGTCAGACTACCGCAAGCGGGGATCAAACTGTAAACAAACAATAATTCACCCTGATAAATGTCACAAGGGTGGAATAGTGAGGTATTATGAATGACTGTAATTCTATTTTCGTAAAAAGAAATCAAAAGAACTGTTGGTCCTTTAAAGTAACTATATGCGCCTGAAGAAATTCTCCCCAAAAGGGAGTCGAATCGCATGCTGTAGTAAGACAATAAGGTTCACGTCACGAGATTTTTTTAACATTATTCTGATTTGCTTTTGCAGGCAAACACGGTGGATAATGTAAAAACTGCTTTAGCTGGTGATTCCACGATAGGATATAGTCTCCCTCGAAACAAAAGAAAGAAAAAAAAAAGAAATCAACGAGGGTATATGAAAAAAAAACGTACTCCCAATCTTGAGTGTCATCGATATCAGATAATGGTATTGATCGCACGAACGCAGATAAATGGACAAATTTTTCCACGACAATATATTTGCGATTTTTTGTTGGTATATCGTACGATATACAAATTCCAAAGTAATTGCAAGTTCATGAATCAAGCATCAATTTAGATTTGTCGCGTGAAGGCACCGTTACACATGCACCATGAAATGATTTGCATTACGAAGTGCGGTAAAATAATGAAATATAAATTGTAAGCATTATGTAATTACAATGTCAGATTGATTTTCTTGGAAGAGAAACTTTTGTCGCGACGCAAACAAATTCAAATTACGTATATACTTTTTGAACGAACAAAAGGGGGTAACTTATATAGTATAATGTCTTGTAACGTCTTTTGAATGAAAAGACCAAATGTCAAGAGGAAACGAGTATCACGTATGGGTATATTATACAGTTAACAAAAGAGAAAAAAAAACAGAAAAATAAAAGATTTAAAATACTTGCAACGGTATATCGCTCTCGGAAAAGAATCGTGTAAATATGTACAGATTTTCAAACGTATTACACGGACCGTTTATTGGAAATCTATTTATACATGTATTAAGCGAAGTACCATGTAATAAGGGGGGAAAAAAAGAAAGAAACAGATCTAAGTTTTCGATAACAGATGAGAGTGATATTGTGTATGATTTTATCTTATCTTTCTATACGAACGACAGCACTGTACAAAAAAAGAGAGTATCGTGTCACGAATAAATTATTAGACCTGATTTATATTTATCCGCGTTTTATTAAACAAGTCGAATTCGCGACACTTGGTAGAATGATGTTTCATACGTTCGAACAGAAATTCTATTTTGTAACTGTGTCATGTTGTTCCATGATCAAAAAATATGTGTTTGTTACCCAACGTTACTTTCTCCTCCTCTGTCCTTTTCCTTTTTCTTTTCATCGAATCGTGCCGTGGTCACGTACCTTTCTCCATGTTTTATTTTTATTGCCCTCGGTTGTACGTTTGGAATAGCAGCAAATAGTACCTACATCTTTTTATACGTTCTTCTCGATTTTAACGAAAAATTGATAGCTCAATGGTTACAGGATGATTGTCTCTTTTACCTCCTTTTTCTTTTTAAGTCTTATGTACAGTGAATGTGACTTCGAATTAAGGTACTTTGTCGAAGCACAGAACAGTGTAAATATTATTCCTGGCAAAGTGTATTCGATCAACTGAGTTCATATGATTGTTATGAATATTTGCTGAACAGTTGAAAGGTTGATTTTACATTTGTTTCAAATTATACAATCTGAACATTTGAGAAAGTAACTTCTTTCAATGCATAAATATGATATATTACCAACGTTTTTTTTTCTTCTAATTTCCTTGTTTTTATATTTTGTAAATAATTGAAGATATTTATTTAAGTGTTAATGTTTTACTCACATAAGAATGATTAATGCATTTCGTTTCTTTCACTGTTTGTGAAAAGTACGTTACTAGTGTTCTGCATCGGATGTTTAATTCGATCAAATACTTTTGCCAGGTTTCAGTGGATTAAAGAGAATGTGGTAAAAAAAATAAGAAACGTAGAGTATGTGCTTCGCAAATGCGCGAGTTACCACGATTCGAAGTCGATTACGATCAAAAAGTACTACGTTGCGACGAATCGCGAGTCTATGAACAAAATTTGTTTTTTTTTTCTCTTCCGGTCGAATAGAATGATAGTTATAAAAAAATTGCTAATCGCAATCGGAGAATTTACTTGTTGACAAAAGTGTACAAACTTAAATCGTAAAAATAAAAAATATCTTCTATTTATTTGGAGTTTAAACTATTTACAACCCAGATAGGATCAGCGCTCTATTACCTGCTAGAAATATCCTGTAACAGTAATTCAGTCTTCACGCATACTTAACGTAAATTAGTCAACGATTACGCTGACTTTGTTGGTCTACGGACAAGAATTGTAAATTAATTCAACATGATTTACATGAACGCGTTGCAATTTATCCGACAATATTTGTAACGCATTCTTGGAATCGCACGGACATTTTGATCGAAGGGAGAACTACGTGATTTCCATAGTACTTCTTATTTTAAAGAAATATTGGGTCTCTGCAATTCATTTCGCAGAAGAAGCTGCGATAGTTCTATTTTGCGTGAAAACTATCAAACCATCGTTTCAAAGTAACTTTTCATCTCGTGAAAATGTAAAGCTATATTATACATATATATATATAAATTTATATATAAAAATTTATTTATATATAAATAATATTTTAATATAATATAAATTACATATATATAAATTTATATATTTATATTAATGTGATAGTTTCTTCAGAGACGAATATGCCGTTAAATCAAATGTATTAAAAAAAGATTCATGTGCTATAGCTGAAGGAACAAATTATGAATTTCTACCCAAGTACAAAAATAATTTATAAGTAACTTCGTCGTCCCGAACGACAACCCGCTCTCTGGTGGGTGACGGTGAAACAATACAATTATAGAAGTTAAACGCA